TCTGCTTAAATAAACTGTGAAAACTATTTCATACACCAGTAACTTATCAAATCCCTGAAGAACACAATTACTACGTATCGATTCAATTAATTAAAATCTAAATAGTAATCTTAGTTCCCTCTTTTAGTGACAATCTTATTCCCTTAAAACATATTCTACCTAGCTAAACATAGTAACTCCCGAGAACACTAGTTTGATTACGAGTCCCTGTGGGATCGATATCTTTTATTACTACGCGATAGACTGTGCACTTGCAGTTAGTTGTATTAGACATAGAAATTCGCGATCATACTCTTTATGTTTTAGCCTTATATTCTCATTCTCTGACAGCTCTTGAGTAGTTTATTTCAACAGTCAGCACCATCTCATACACACTATATACAGGGAAGTCGATGAATATAAGTGAGTGATCAGATTTTTAGATTGAAAAAAAAATAATAAAAAGAAGAAAAGAAAAGAAAAAGTTGAAAAAAATTACTCGTTAGTTGGTTCAGCGGTTTCTGGTGCTGAACTTGGTAGGGCGGATTACGGTCTGATCCCCCGCAACTACAATTGAGTCAGCAAAGGGTTAATGCCACGTAAGTACCAGAACCCCAAACAAAAAGGATCAGAGTCACTAACCGGTCGCCTTGCTATGAGTGTGTGGAGATAACGGGCTTAATGTGATTGTGCCTGAATGAAAAAGAGCAAAAAGGAGGAAAAGTAAGTTAGGCTTCAACATAATAACATGATTTGAGTTGATTTGTATATTCAAGAGGTTTATGTCTGCACAATTGTGGATTAGTGTTCCTACGATATCCTTAGTGTATAAGATTAGTACCTATCGATGCAAACTTAACCGAAGAAGACTTACAACCTGGAATGAGTATCTGTTGATGTGTTTGTGCTTTCTTTGTTGTGTTTTATTTTAATTTTGCTCGGAGTGCAAAAGTTCAAGTGTAGGGGAATTTGATCAGTGCATATTTATGCACATTCTCCTATATTTTTACTTAGGCATTTCTTTACTTTATTTTGATTATTTTTATGTTTTATTATGTTTTTACATTTTATTTTATTTTTGGTTTAATTTAATTATCGCAACTATTTTTTAGCTTTAGCAGTCTGCACGGAAACGATCATAACTGGAGTTCCGAGAATCCGTTTGAGGCGTTCTAAAAATCTCCGGAAAGCTAAGAGAGAGAGCTACGACTTTCGTGTTGGAGTCAAAGTCAGATTCGGAGTTCAAAATTCCAGAATTTCGTTTTAAGTTACAGCATTAGAATTCTGTTTTAGTTTTGATCTTGTTTTGGGTCTGGGTTATGTTTTTGACCCAGTTGGGTTATGAACTGAATCCATTGTTTTATTTTGAGGGAAAACCTCATTTACCGTATCCTATTCACTATTCACGAAAATATTTGTTGGAGCTTTTTATGAATTATGGAGAACTAATTCCTTCGGATTAATCTGCTGTAATCGGTTCCCGCCAACACTTTGAGGTTCTTTTAATTTCCAATAAAATTTATTTCCTTTCAATTCTTCTCTATGATATTTTGTTTGCTTAATTCGATTTATCTTAGGGATGATTGATTTATTTCGATGATTGCATGTTCTTATACTTTAATCGCGGTTGCTTAATCCGCGTATGTTTCTCGTGTTTGCTTAATTCACGGTTACTATTTTATCTGTTTGCTTAATTCAGAAATTAGGAACGTGTATCGTATCATATCAATTGCGCTTGTTGATTGTTATTATAATCAGAAAGGGGATAAAATCCGCTTAGGAATTGGGAATTATTAGGATCGATGATAAGTTGGGAAACGAAAATAGTAGATTAGCCGTTTCAACTCATTACTACAATCAATTTTTCGAATCACTTATTTTTCGTTTATTTTATCTTAATCTAAACCCCCATATTTCGTTACTGTATTTGATTATTCCTACAAGAATCCTTGTGAGACGATATTCCGAGTCACTGTCGCTGTCCTGCATTTTCCTAAAACACTCGTTTTTGATCTGCGAGCGACCGCGGATCAAGGGACCTAACATGACATGCATTTTACTAGTAACAGAAATATGGATTAATACATGAGATTGGTAGATTCTTCTCTTTTCTTCTTCAAGAGGAGGCTCAGGTACATACTGTTGATTACCCACAACTGTTGGACCCAAGATCTTATGAACTGGAGCGAGTATAGAGGATTTCTTGGATTCTTTTATGGATTTTGTTGGACCTTTGGAAACTTTGGTGGAAGACGCCATTGATGCATCAGAGGTTGAAGAAAATGGTTTGTGTTTGTAAGAGATGAAGAGTTCAGAAGGAAGTTGCTCTTGCTAAGGAAGATTAAGAAAGTGGAAAAAATTGAAAAATGGTGGTTTTTACTATTTATATACTGAAGAAATGAAGCGGTTCGATACAAGCGTTCATGGTTGAAAGAGCTAGTGGGACACATTCCAGTCGGAGAACGAGTGATGAGACGGTGGCAGTTGAACTAACCCACGATCTCCTAGGAACTAGGTGTGTGATGATTGTAAAGACTCACACATGGATTTTTGAGAAGACTTTTGAGAAAAGTTGTCATGATGACTATGACGTCATAACAAACAAAGAGTTTATGGCGTTGAAAGAAGGTTTCAAAAAATGCCCTTTTCTCAATTTAGTCTAAAATGACATTTTTTGGGGGAAATTTGTTAGCTGGGAATTTTGACACTAAGGATTTGATTTAGTATGATGAGCAAAGGAAATGATTTTAGGATGTTTTGGAATTCGACAGGAGTGTTGTTGAAGTTTTCAGTCGAAGTGATCCTTTGTAAGAAGGATACGCTAGATTGAAACATAGAAATATTTCTGAGTTTAGATGGCATTTTGACAGAGCCAATGTTGAGGCTGTGTTCGATAGAGATTTTGAATTTTGAATAAGGATGATAACTGCATTTTTTCCTTATCCGTTTCTTAAAGGTGACGCATGGAAAGTTGTGCCGAATTGAAGACATGCAAGCGAAAACGTGTCATTTTCTGGAGAAAAGACCGTTGATAACGGTTATTTTCGACGTAGTATAAATAGGAGTCTTATTGTATAGGATTTCATGTGTTCAATCATTGTACAAATACTCATAAACTACTCAAAGTATCTAAGTGTAATTGAGAAATGAGTTCGCTGAGAATGTACGTCTGAAACACCATATTTTATCATTTCAAATAAAGTTATTTACATTTTGTCAATTACTTTTTCATTACAATTTACTTTGAAGTTCCTTTATTGCAATTCCTTTACAAATTCTGCAAATTTCCCTTTTAAACTTTAAACATTCTTCAATCATGGGCATTGTCGAAGTGTTCTTAAGACTTTCAAATATAGTTTGAATAATAACACATGTTCTATGATTCACTGGTTGATCCTGTTAAGTAAACCATTTTTAGAGACCAGCGGTTGTTTACTAATTTTCACGGTAAACAAGATCACAGTGAGACGTGTCCCTTGGATGACACCTTCTACTCTGGATGGTTGGCTTACAGGTCACATATGATGTTTCCACATTTTCTTGAGCATGTCATGCGACAATTTGGCTACATGCAATTTATTCCTAGAGACTCTTCTGACTATGTTCGTCTCGCTATGACACACAGAGATATGGGTTCCATGTATGATGATTACCTTAATCGTCTAGTACCGGATGCGCCACATGTTACCTTAGCTCATAATGGCTGGAGTGCTGCATACGACTACAGCCAATGGTATTTCAGAGTGTCACATTCTTATATGACTTTCAAATGCTCCGGGTGATCCACTTAGGGCAACTCATCAGGAGATACTATAGGAGAAGTAGGCTAGGACATATAATGTTGTTGTTGTGTTGCTTAGATGTCGACGTATCATGGATACGATGCATGCCGATATAAACATATGAGTCTTCCCTGAAGGCTCTTAGGCGAGGGACATTGTAAATGTCATCATGGAGGAGCCACGACCGACACTACGCTACAGGAGGCAACATAAGAACATAGGGCTCGAGTTCGACATACACAATAACATATGGTATTTATATTAGAAGTATTATTATTGTTTGTAAATTATTTTGACTTCATCATGTATTTTAGATTTATTCATTTATATATGACATTTTGACTTCATTATGGTTTAATTTATATAAAATCTAATATAATTGTATATTTATAATACATCGTCAATTACATCAGTGTATACGTAAAACAAAGTCAAAATTTATTGTCTAGTGTGAATTCAGAGATGCATATAAGGTGAAATCGAAGATGCAATTCTAAACTAAATTTTGAAGGAAAAAAAAGGCGAGATTCACTTTAGGACGTATTTTGGTGAGAAAATGGTACTACCGAAAAATGCATTTTTGAAATTTTAAGGGTCATTTAAGATTTTTAAAAAAATGTTTTTCCCTTACTTAGGGTGAGATAAGTAATTTCCAAAAACTATCGAGCTCAAATTGCGTCTAGTAACTAGAGCAAATTTCAAGCGAGTTTACTCAACTTTTTTATTTTCAGCCCCCAACTAGGCATGACAACATAGTCCATACTCATAGTTACTCACCTGAACACACCCTTGAATTTGATGGAAAAAATCTGCTTTGATTGAGTTTAAGTTAGAATTTGGATTTTTTCTGATTATAAAATATGAGAATGTTTTAGGTAATGTGGACATTAGTACCCACTCAAAATCCACTCCATTTATTTTATTATGTTTTAATAATTTAGAATATTAAATATTTAATTAATGTTTTAATATTTTGATTTGTATTTATTATTTATAATATTTTAAATGTATATATAAATTTTTTTGAGATATTTTATTTTTATTATTTATAATATAATTTGATTTTAAAAAAAAATTATTAAAAATTAATTTCAATATATAGATGATGATGGTTTTAAGATATCTAATTTAAACCTCATTTAAACGAAATTGAGTTTTAATTCTCCATTCTAGAAATTGGAACATGGAACATAGATTATTTTGGAATTCAAGTTTAGATTTGATGATCTAAATATCATCATGATTCGCATGGTTGTCATGCTAACCCGTAAATACAAAGTAAACCGAGAGAAAATAGAACAAACCGGTTCAAACGAACCACAAACCCGGTATTGGGTCTTGAAAACCGTCTTGTTCATTCTCGTGGGCAATTCCTTTCCACTTTTCTTTTCTCACAAAACACAGAATCCATTCTTCTTCCTCTTCTATTTCCTCGCCGCCATTGGAGCTGGGTTCCAAAGCTTAAGGGTAATTTCCCCACAATGGGTTTCAATCCTAATTATGATAATGAAGCTTTTATTTGTTTTACTTTCATTTGAGTTCTCATTTATTTTAGTTTGTTGCCACTGAAGTGTTCAACTAAGTGCTTCTCATTTGTCTTGATATGAACTAGTAAGAAAGCTTTTAATTTGAATTCTTCCATTATTAAGATGTTTCCATTGATAAAGCTGATTGATTTTGCTGCTTTTGTGTCTCATGGTGTAATGCTTGTTTTCTGTTTGATAAAATGCTTCAACCGAACTTTGTGGGCAGGACACACTGGTTATAGATAAAATGAAGTATAATAGATTTTAGTGAGATTGATAGTGCACTGTTTATTTTGAGTTAGTGATGCAAAGTGAATTGTGAGATTTTTTTACCTGTTGTTTAGTTGATTATTATCTGTGTATAAGAAAGTAGATGATGTTATCATAATCAACTTCTAGACGTAAAATTTGTTCATCATGCAGGTACTGGGTATATAGTTGACTTATTGCAGTGCTCTGTGGAATGGAAGATTCATCATTTTTCGACCGAATGATTGGTCATCTTCGAGGAACTTGCAAGTATGTCCATGTTAAATACTGGTGTCATTTTTCTCTAAGTTGTAGCTTTTTTTTTTTTTGTTAATTGAATGTCAGAAACTAATTTTTTTCATATGATTGAAGAATTGTTTAGTCACATCACATTGATAAATCTATGGAATCTCATTTCAAATCATTGAATATTAATGACAAAGTTCAGCAATTCTTACTATGGTAGCATACTTTGCATGATATGATTTAGATGATATATACTTTGCACAATTCCCTGGTGCATTATTCTTTGAATAAGCTCACCTCATCCCATGCTATCTAATACCTATTATTGGGAAGTATCAATTTGTTGGAATTGTTTTGATAATATTAGGTACTATACCGGTTATCCAAAGGTTCTTGGACCATCACGGGTTATTCATTTCACCTCTGAACGTGAGTTTGTCAATCTCCTTCATGAAGGGTTTCCTGTGGTTGTTGCTTTTACTATCAGGTGATCTCGTTGGAGTCAGCTCTTGAATACTCTTACTCTGAAGCTTATTTAGGTCTGAATGAAAAAGAGAAGTAATAAAGTGAATTAATTTAGGAATAACTTATTATTCAATAATGCAGGGGTAATTACACGGAACATCTTGACAAAGTATTAGAAGAAGCTGCTGCTGAGTTTTATCCACATGTAAAATTTATGCGTGTAAGATATTTTATGAATGATCTCTTCTTACTTGTTTGTGTTAGCACTTGGAGTCATATCTATGTATATTTAGTACTCACGATGAAGCATTGCAATTGTCTAGTTTGATAGAGTCACAAAAGCATACACAAATGTGCTCATTACTTTGCAATGAGTTGGAGTTTACTTTTAGGAATGTACGCACTAGGCTTACAGTGGAATTTATCTTGTATCGTGTTCCTTTTTATGTACTTTTATTGCTTGTCATTGTCTACACACTCTGTAGTGTTTCTATTCTCCATTAATGACATGATAAAGTTTTTGTGCTTTGCAGGTTGAATGTCCCAAATATCCTGGGTTTTGTATAAGTCGGCAGAAAAAGGAGTATCCATTCATGGAAATATTTCATAGTCCAACACATGTATGGTATTCTTTTCTATTTGCTCAGCCTCTTAACCTAAGTGCCTAAATTGCTAATTGGATGAAATTATTATAAATTTTCTTCTGATGGCATGTTTTAAGTAAACCTCAAAAGCACAGATTCTATGGCACTAATTTGGTTTTCAGTAATTGGTTGATCTTTTCATTGACTCAATGGAAATGTATAGTTACTTGAGACATGTGTTTCTTTTTACAGGTAGCTAACCAGGGTAGGGTAGCTGATCCAAATATTACTAAATACAATGTGAAAGTCATGCCTGTAAGTATCCCTCCTCCTGCTTTTCAGGAAAATTGTAAAGCATGTAATACCGGCCATGATTATTTTGTATTTTGAACAATCCCCCCCTTAAGCAAATATCAAATATTGATAATGAACCCTTCCTAGGTATTAAATCTAGTAATCAACCACTAAGATCAATTTAAGCACATGTTTCTTGATATGCAGCCGTTTAGGTTTTTACCAATGGAATTTGTCTACTTGCCATGGTGGGTTCCTCAAAGTTAAGATTTGTTCCATTCCATGTACAAGGAGCCTTTTCCTAGCATTTAAAAACAATTTTCTTACTCAAAATTGATATTTCATTTTGAAACAAAATTAATTAATACTTAGAAAGTATAAAAATGTAGATTGCAGGATTGCTTAAATATTACTATATCATTGGAGCAAAGTGTATATTGAGTTGCTTAAATATAATGTGGCATAGTTGAAATTGAAAACCACTTAATAGCTGCTAAACAACTAAAAGTTGTGACCCCTTTGGAGACGCCCTTAGTAGTGGTAAAACCCAACAAACATTTTTGAATTTCTATGACAAATGTTAAAGGCTTGGCTTGGCTTGGCTTTGAATATTTTTAATGATCTCATACTTCCATTTTTTTTGTGTGCAATTGCAGTTCAACTATGATATCAGTGTTTACGGATTTAGAGAAATCTTCAAGCGCTATGGGATCAGGGCATCAGATGCGAAGTAAAGGCTCTAGTAGGAAGGTTTTATCTTTCAAATAATGAGGAGCCACACCAGATTATACTACCTTCTTTATCAATTTGTAATTGTATATCATCATAAGTTACAACTTCAGGCCTGTAGATGGACAATTATAATTACCTGTTTTATTGATGTCTCAACCCGTAAATATAATTTGGTTCAGTCCAGTCATGGAAATGTTCTCTTCATTCCTTCATTTTGGTTGTTTAAGTTAATTGATGTAGCTTTTAGATTATTTTGCTCTTAATGTTGTGGTATTTCAACTATTGGCCCGATTGGCTTTTCATTTTGATTTGTTTTTGAAGAAAATTATTGTTAATAGAACGGGGAGTTTTAAAACAAATTAGCTCTATATATCCCTAGATGTTTGCAAGTGATCTTTTGTTATTGGAATTGAACTGGAATGTCTTGGCTTAATCAGATCTCCTTCCAGACCTAGTGCTTAGAGGGCCGTGAAATGAGATGTTTTACCTTAGTCACACCGACCTTCCAAGCTTTGTGAACTCAAATAATTTTAGTTGGATATCAAAGAGTTTGGCCAACTAATTATTTAGTCTGTCAGTAACACGGAAAGGACTTGGGTGCAAAAGGGAGGGGTCTAGTGGCGAGTATGTGATCTTGCTCGACCCAATACTCTTCAGTTATGAATCATAGGAGAATGTGTCCAACAACATATTAGGAGAATAATTGAAGTCATTCCTAAGTTGCATACATTAATTGCACTCCTCATTTTGGAGAATGATTGACTCCACTCACTCCACTATCAGGTCAAAGTTACGATGTGCATGGCTAGATTGATAGGCGCTAGAACTGGTTTTTACAACAACTTCTGGATCATGTAACTGAATCCATAAATACTCTAGCTAGATAGTTGGGTAAGTCATTCACTCTCTTACATATCAGAATAGAAAAACCTTCTTGTGCATCTCTTCGCAAGAAGTATGTCTCTTATTATACTCACTGTGAGTATAGTGGCATTTACCATGGATCCCAGTAAAAGTAATATGAGTCACTCTCATTTGAAACATTCTTTGCCATAATCCACGTTTAAAAATGGTGAGACGTGGCACCACTAGCAAGAGATGTGGTGATCAAAGAGCCATAACAGAGATGTGAGATGCTATGGAAGAGTTATGTCACCACAATGAAACCCTGCAAAATAGAGTTTTACATCTCCTCCAATAACAACACGAGAATGACCCACCGAAAGGCGCGAAGATCTTAGATACATAACACCATTCAGAAGAAACTTGGGACGCATCCCACACTAGAGAACTTCAAGCCACTGACCTAGTAACCTTTGCCTAGAAAAGTGACTCACATGAGCACATCATCGATATCAACACTCAAATGGTGATAATAGGCACCATCGACTCCTTGAAGTATAAACTCTTATGTGATACGTTCAAGGAGGTAGCATTGATATGTTATATGAACCAACCTAAATTCTAGATAACCAACTATCAAGACCTCTTGTGGAGGTTAATTCACTAGTTATAGGCGAGCAAATATCGAAGGGTCTCAACAACCAGTTTGTTCAATGTCCACCAGGGACACTCTGAATCTTTGAAAGAGTACCTCACTAGGTTTAACGAGGCACCCATAAAAGTGGTTCATCAGAACCAAGAAATTTTTGTGAGAGCTTTCAAGAATGGTATGAAAGTTACGCATTTCGATGAGCCTCTCGCCCAAAAGGACGTTTCCTCAATGATAGAGATTATGACACGGGACGATTGCTACATAAAGGGAGAAAAAAATTCACATAGAGAAGGCCAGCGATGCAAAAAAGTGTGGCATTAGAGGGTTTTATTCCTCTTAACACACGTGCAGAAGCCATTACACATTGCAAGTCCGTGACAAAGCGACCTTCAAGTGAGACAACATTTGGCACAATATACTCCATTCACATACCATCCATCCTCCTCCAACTCCAAAGTGGAAGGTCATAGGGAATGAGCCAAACAAGGGGTGTAAATACCACAAAGTCAAAGACCACCAAATAGATGATTGTCATCAACAAAAGAAATAAATATAACACCTAATCCAAGAAGGTCATCTGAAAAAATATGTCCATGGAACCTTTTGGCATTTAGGAGGTATGTCTCACCCTTCAAGACCAAACCAATCCAAAAGGCCCCGACCTAATAAGGATAAAAAGCCACAATGAGGAAGGGAGGATATACTAGTTTGCCATACATTTAATATCATCGCTGGAGGATTCATATGTGGAGGAGTATCTAGCTCCTCCCTAAAACGATATATCTGCCAGGTGATACATGTGGTGGATTTGCCTTTGAAACCAAAGTCAACTTTTGAGCCCAAAATCACCCTATTGAAGAAAACATAATATGAGTTCTGCCCATGAAGACACTCCCATAGTTATAAAAATATAACTATTAGACCTTAGAAGCTCAACCGAAGTTCTATTTTGGGACGCTTTCAAGTGGCCTCAATTGGATCTAGACGATTTGTAACCATTTAGAGGATTCCAAGTTGGCTTATCCAGTGAGCATGTCTAAGTCAAGGGTTACATAAGAAAGAGGGTCAAGGAGAATAGAACTCAATACTTGTAACTTGCTTGACAAATGTAGAATATGAACTTGAAGGAAGACGTGAAACTCCTAACAAATTAAGGCAAAATTTAAAAGGAAACAAGAAGGAGGAAAAAATCTTGAATGCTATATTTAATGGATGTGATTTACCTCTAGGCTAAGTAGAATTATCATCACACACCCATTAGGCTCATAGACACATACAATAGGGACATGCCACCAACGACCCCTTATTGTAGGCATGTAAATAGATCAATGACGAAAATCGTTTGGTCGTTCCTAAGAGATTCACCATTACATATCATTAATTGTGTCACTTATCCAGAAATCCAACTATCACTCCTATCTGAGTCGTAACCTCAATATCGTTGAACATCATGCCTCAAAAAATAAGACCCTTCCTTTTGGACCAGCAAATTCACCCAAATCACATCGCCCTTCCAGGCCTCGTGCTTGAAGGACTATGAATTGAGATGTCTTGTCAAATCACATGACCCTTCTAGGCCTATAACTTTAGTGATTGTGAATTGAGATGTATTGCCTTAATGACATCGCCCTTAAGGCCTCGTGCTAGAGGGATCGTGAGAGACTGGATATGATAGTTATACCCTATTTGATGCAGAAATTAGTCATGAGACTGGAAAAATACATGAACATTGTCCCTCACTAAACCATGAGGAAACTTTTTTTCCCAAGCACAAATTATTAAAAAAAAAAAAAAAATCCTTTTTTCATATTTTTTATTTAAAACTCTCTCTCTCTCTCTCTCTCTCTCTCTCTCTCTATATATATATATATATATATATATATATATATATATATATATATATATATATATATATATATATATATATATATATATATATATATATATATATATATATATATATATATATATATATATATATATATATATATTCATTCAGAATCCTTTGACATAAGGTATAAATCTAAAAGTCTTACATCAAATCTCAGTCGTTAATATAAATAAATTTAGTGGTCATATAAGTAGCATATCTTTTAGGAAAAGGAAATGACCATGTATTTTTTTAAATTTTATTTAATATGATTGTTTGGTTCAATTCTATTAATGGTTGAGATTTGGTGTAAGACTTTTAGACTTACACTGGTGTCAATGAATCCTGACACACACACACACACACACACACACACATATATATAAGATACGTTTGTGTTCTTGCTAAAATCACTAAAAGGTTGACTTCCCTGATTCTAGTCAAGGAGAGCCTCAAATGAATGGTTAAGCTTCTGTAAATGTTTTTCTGAGGTAGTTCTTGTCTGCCTTTCCTCATTTCTTTATGTCCCTTATATATAGGCCCATTCCTCACCCCAACAATCATGAAGAAGCCTTTCCTCATCCCTCCTGCATTCAAAGCCTAGAAAACCGCCACCACTTTATCATTTAATTTCAGTTCTTAATGGCTTGTAACACCTGTTTTATTATTGTACCATTATGACTTCATTTTCCGAGACTGTATTCGGGCTCCATACCCGATGATATAAGGCTATCCACCTCGGCCCATCATGACCCTCAATCTGGCTATGCGACGACTTCGTTAAGTCGGGTTATATCTCAAGTATCTCTTAGGTGATTCTGTGTTCTACCATTGGCTACTATCCGGATTCCCCCCGAACCATCCCTACTTCGTCACAGACTTCTTTCATTTTACACATCGATTGGTCAAAATAACTTTCAGGATGTACATAAGCCCCCCGGACATGAAACCTGAAAAAGTGAAATGTCCGGACTAAAGAAGCCCGAAACATTTTTTGTCCATCATGGGTCGAGGCATAACTCGGCCTTAACACATCGTTATCTGTTCTATAGACCCAACTTAGCAACGTGAGCAATCGTAACAGACGCGAGGGTGTATCTTTATCAGATTTTCTCTTTCTCCTGTAATGATGATTTTTATGGGGAATTGATTTTCTCCAGAAATCCCAAACGCCTCACTTTTTAGAGTTAAAAAGGATTTCCCCTTATTTAAAGTCATCTTTTCCTCTTCTTTCTAATCATCAACTAAAGTAATTTATTTCACTTTCAAGACGAGTTTTGAGCTTCCAACCGTTCTTCAATCTCAGGTATTTTTTCTTTTATCCCTTTATCAGCTTTTCTTTCTTTTAATAAATGGCTATTGTACATGAATGTGACGATGATAGAAATGCGTTAAAAACCCTAAGAATCCAAGAAAAGAAAAATACCTGGGACTTACGCATGAGAGAATGTAAGGATACCATAAGCCAAACTGACTTCGATCATATTATAAAGGAAGGTTACGATGATATTTACGCCTCTTTTAATGATACTGATTATGAATCTTCCTCATCAGGTTCGTCAGTAGAAGTGTTGATGGAGATTGCCGACTCCTTCGATCAAGAGGTGATAAGCTATGATCATAGCTCCATTGATGAA